CCGGCCGCTGCTGCACTGACTCCCGCTTCCGGCACTTGGCACTTCCGGCAGGAAGTGACGAAATGAGACAGGTTGTGGAGAGGAGGGATACGCGGAGGGAGCCGCCGCGGCAGCGGAAGAACACGGTGATGCACGACGCATATTAAATAGTCCCGGGGGCTTTTTTTTTTACCCCCTCCCGCGGGGAAATCATCCCACAGCCCCGGGGCGAGGGGCCGCAGCCCCCAGGGGAGGGGGGAGCCCGGGGCAGAGCCTGAGCACCCCAGGCCCTGCCAGGGACAATATTGGGGTTCAAGAGGCACGTTAGGGTTCAAACATCACGATATACATCGCTTCTCAAAGGAGTCCGAACTGTAAAGGCAGGCGAGGCACTTCAGAACCGCCAGGCACAAAGAACGGCTTGGCCAGGGTGCTGCCCCAGTCTTACAGGCACATCAGCACCAAGGAAAGAATGAAAGCAGCAGTTTAATGAGAAACTACATCCAAGGGACCGGGTACAGCAGGTCCTCCCCCTTCTGAAAGAGCTCTGGACAAAAATTGTGCAATTCCTAGAATTTACAAGAGAAGCTTACGCTAGGTGAGGTTGTCAAGACTCTTCCAAAAAGGAGAACTGTTCATATAAAAAAAAATAAAGGAACGTTTTCCAGCTGGCTCACAGCGATGGATTTTGGCCTCACTCTAAGCACTGAAAAAACCCAGCCCTCTGCACCTACGTAAATCAGAGCTCATCAGCCAAGAAGACACTTTGTTGAATATTTGGTTTTAAAAACCAAAACAATGACATAATGTACATGATCATAAATGTTCAGAACATCTATTAAATATTCAATATGGAGAATACACAAATTTACATGGCAACCCCGGCAGTACAAACAGAACACAGCTCCTGAGCCAAAGCCTGGGAGAGCAGTCCCTTCACTTCGTCCAACTGACTTTAGGAATGTCGTAATGCTCGGTCAGAGTATCCAAGTGCCTGTTGAAGTCCTGGGGGAGAGAAAGAGAAATAAAACATTGAATATTTGGTGCTGACATCCCCACCGTTGAACCGCAACACCCTCTGCCTCCCCGCTTCTGTGTTTCGCAAAGGCCAAACAGTTCCTCCAGCCCAGAATGCCTGGGTGATGATAAACACACGCCAGCCTGAGGAAATCGGGATAATTTAGCTTACCTCAACTCTCTGCTTATGGGTTTTCGATGCTTTCTTCAGGATCCTCTCCATTTGCTGGAGTAAGACACAAGAGAGGCTGGTTACTTCCACCACTCTCAGCCCCCAGGGGCCGCGTCTGAGGGGCGGACTGGGGTTTTTACCCCCCCCGCCCGAGCCCCAGGGCTGCCCTACCCGCTTCTCCTGCATCTTCTCGTAGGCCACCTGCGCCGGGGTCCGCTTGTCCAGCCCGCGCTTCTTCTCCTCCTCCTGCTTCTTGCTGCTCACGATCTGCTCCAGGATCTTGGCCTTCTCCTTCGCCTTCT